TAGGTGAAGACATGATGGATTGAACACTGCGTGCAAACTTATGGTATGGCAACCAGGCTCGAATGCGCTCTTTTTAGCGTTCGGGCAGAGCAAGGTGATACGGGAAGAAATTCGCGATGGCACTGATCTGTATCCTCACCTGCTCGGCGTCAAAGGGCCGGTGCAAGTGAAGTGGCCAGCGAATGCCAAGCTCGGCAACCGCACGGGCCAGCTGGGTGCAAAAGGGCAAATGGAAAGCTGACCTGCGAGCTGAGGCCCAGTGTGGCAAGCTTCGCACGCGGGACGGGTTGGGGTTATGCTGGAAAGCGTTGGCAACCAATGTTGGAATTTGGAGTATTTTTTGTAAGCAGCTTCAGCGATGAACATGTGCATCCGCCCCAGCTCAAGCCTGTGACTCGGATCTTCAGCTCCTTGACTTGTGGGATTGCAAGTCAGTATTGAGCAGATTTTGCCTTTTGATTGTTCCCTTCGATGAGGCCCTAATGAATTATTTCCTGGTTGGCAGTTCAATCAAGATCGTTCTCCCGGCTGTTTGGATTCACCCTGTCGCCTCCAATTCTGCTTTTGCTTAGTTGTGTGGTGGACCTCTGAGTTATCCTTGCAGTCCGGCTGCCAGAGAACGTAGGGGAAGAGTCTGAAATACGCAGTGCGCAGTGAATCTCTTTCATTGCTCACTGCCTTGTTGCCAAAACACATTGACTTCTTCTCCCAGTTTTGATGCCTGCTGAGTCTGGCAGCGGTAGGCTAGGTCCGATGTCTCCTGACTTGGACTGAATGCGTGCAAGAAAAGCCCCAGCCTCGTGTTGAAGTATCGGAGGTAAAAACCCAGATTCTTGGCCACATGTGCAGGCCTGTTGCCAGCAATGCTGGCGCATGTGCGGCAGCGGAGTTGGAGGTGTCGGCTTGAGTTCTTTAATTTGGAAGGCTACCCACCGCAAATACACCACCAACCCTAAACCGCACGAAAATCAGGCAAACATGGCGGTCGAATCTTTAAAAGAACAGAACATCATGTGAATGCGTGTTCAACTCCCCGGTACCAACCTCACATCTTGCCCGAACTTTTCCCAGACCACCTGCAAGGCTTCCACAAGTTCATTTGCCAGAAATGCAAGGGGTGACTCGACGCTGTGCTATTTATTGCGACCCAGAAAATGCGTATTCCTTGGTCCCGCACAGACATCTCTGTACTTCTGGCCGCCGAAGGCCCGCCACTCGCATGCACCGTCCACCTTGTCGCCCGTTTTCGGCAAAACTGCCTGTGCCGTCCCGGCAAAGGACCGGCAGGCGCCTCGCAGGGTATGAGTAGGACAAGCCGAAGGTCGTCGAAACGAAAGCATAGACGGTGTGCGCGGGATGAGGACACTTTGTGGTACTTGTCCCTCTGAGGCTGTCTGGCTGTCTCGTTCCAGTTTCGTTTAACGCGTGCGACCGAGGACCCGGAGCTTTCGTCGTCGAAACCAGTCCGGTCTTCACTCTCCTCCAATTTGGTTTCATATCGGCTATAGTGACGAAAACAGGCGTGTGCGTAAGAAAGATATAAAGAGCGAGTGTGGAAGATGTCGATTGATGGACCGCTTCATTTTCAGTCCAACCTTTTGGGCACGCCTGTGCAATCATGAAACGTTGGTGCAGACCTTACCTTGACAAGTTCAACGGCACCAGTGGCATCTTGGAAAATGGCTTACTTGAAGACGTCTCAGGACGTTAGCACCGCTGCTTCACACTGTGGAGTTCTTCCAGCTGGTCCCGCGCCAAATGAAAGGGGTGCATGAAACTTGCAGTTCACGGCCCACACATGTACCTACGTTGAAACGAATTTGCAGTTTTGGCTGAGCTTCAGTGATCATTGCACTGTCGATCGTTACCATGCCGCGTATTCTCGCGGGATTGATATTTCTCGGAACTGTGGCGAATGCCACTGTCCCAACTGTGGAGGTGGCTGCAGGAGTCGCATGTCGGCACTGCTTCGGAGCAACACATGTTTAGTCATGGCGCATAGTTACGCCATGCTAATTTACAGCGATTTCGACAACAGGTTTACATGCCCATGATCGCCTTCGGAAGCTATCGTGGGTCCCTCACGAACTGTAGCGTGCAAGAGGGCATTCAGCAGTGGCTCCAGCTTGGAGGGTCGAGACCCCAGTGTGAAGATGTATGCAAATATGCAGTGATGGGAAGCCGTGCAGGCCGGCCCTGCCATGATTAATGAGGCGCCATATCGACACTGCCCACGATTACGGCACAGAGCCAGATGTGGGAGCGGCGATCAAAGCTTCCGGTGTTGAGCGAAAGGACTGCCGGCTAGTTTCATGTTCCTTTCGACCATGTTGCAGGGATCTGCTGTAGGGTCAGTATCACTTGACAGACTGCAAAGGAGATTTTCCTCACGACCAAAATTCCCGGTCCAATTGGACGTGGAGCTGTCAAGGATATGGTGATGAACGAAACCCTACAGAAGACATTTGACCGAATCTGGTGATCAGTACGGATGTGGCAGACGTGGCAGAATGTAGCAGCACGAGCGGAGTTAAAGATGGCAACGATCAGAAACGGTTCAAGGTTGGGCGTCGACTACATCGATTTGGTGCTGATCCATTTTCCGTGTGTAGCGCCTTGGCTAAAGCATGACACGTCTTTTCGAACAGCAGCAGTGCCGCAGGAGGGTGTGATTCGAGTCCGTTATGATTCATGATGGCATTGGTTGCTGCTGTGTCCAAGAACATGTCTGACTTCCCGAACAAGTGCGGGGAGCAGCACCAGCAGGAACGTTTGGACACCTGGCGTGGCCTCAGCGAACTTCGTGCGATGGGGAAGGTGCGTGCGAGCAATCCTCAGCAATTGACATGATCGGTGGATTCGATTCTTTGCGCACTGCCAGTAGCTCGTTCCCTCACTGACTACAAGTGGAGTTGTGACAAGGATCGGCGTGAGCAACTACAATGCGGAGCAAGTTGCAGAAGTTGTTGCTGAGTTCAAGGAGGCACCTGCAGTCAACCAGGCCAGGCATTGAAAGCTTTAGTCACACTTAACCTGCATGTTCCTGCCCCGGCAGCGCGCGCACTGTCTTTGTGTTGGAGGTTCAGTGGCACCTCGCCTACCACAATGAGACGCTTCGATTGGCCATGCGCAAACTTGGCACAACCATTGAGGTGGCGTGAAGCATTTTTTGTACTGTTTGCTGTTCTGTGATTTTCTCCAGCTGATCAATGAAAAGTTTCGTCCGCTTGCGACACTGTTGTCTCAATCGTATGCTGACATGTATGACTCGGATAACGTTGAAACATTTATCCGTCGCATCATGTCGCCGGCTCGCTCCATACAGCCGCTTGAACCCAAACAATTCTTTCATATTGGGCTTGGTGCTGGCATCCGTTTGGAAAGCTGCCATCTGTGCAGGCTTGGGCATCCCTGGCAGGGCCAACGTCAGCGGGCGCGACTCTGGCGAGTTTAGGGTCTTGAATATTTGCTTCGAGGAAGCAAGCTGCTTGGTCATGCATGCCGGGAGCGTTCTTTTCATGAGGTGCCTGCCATTTCCTTGGGCGATGCTCGGCTAAAGGCGCTGGCGCAGCGCTACAACAGGAGCAGCGCCCAGGCACGCCGCCATCGGACTCTGGAGCCTTTTGGGGCGATTCGACTTGGCCTCCAGAGGTCGAGCTGCGTTGGGAAACGCAGAACGGCATTGTGCCGGTCACAGCCTCTTGCTCAAAGGATGGCGGAGAGCTCATGCAATGACTGCACATGGGTGGCGTGTATATTCCGTTTCGATCTACCGTGGGCGCTCGCAGGATCATGCGGTTGGTGATTTGGAATCGTTCAGCTTTGCATTGTCAGATGAGGACGATTCGCCAGATCCTGCCACATCGTTATCTTGCATTCAAAGTTGTTTCCTCCTCTCTGCCCTATTTTCCTACTTTGCCAGGACATCAAGTATCTGGATGCGCTGGCGCCGGCAAGCGAGGAGTTCATCGTTTAAGGTTGTCGGGACGTAGCTAGTGTACAGTCTGATAATGTTCGTCACGATGTAGGGCAGCAGCGTTGCCCGTGGCCCTGCTTCGCGGCCACTTGTGTCACTGACCCGAGTCGGTCAATACTTACAGACAGTACAGTTGGATCGGAGAAATTCTGGAATCTGCATCTTCCGAACGGTGGCTTTTGCACTGCCATTCACCAACGCTTCCGGCACTTGGACTTCCCAGGCGCTTGCTGGAAGCGTAGAAGTTTGTCCCGGTGAGGGCCCTCGTTACGGACTCGTGCCCCGGGCGACAGCGGCAGGCAGCTCAGATGGCTAACTGGACGAATTGAAGGAGACCACAAGTGCAACCACGACGGGACCCACCGCGTTGTGGCCCCATTGTGGGTGCATACATTGCCCGTCGGCCGTCCTTTGCAATCGAGCGGCAAGGTGTGTGCCGAGCTGTTGGATGGAGATGGCAAGCCGTTGGTCTGGGGAAGTAAACTCAGTGGGTTCCACTTGCTGTTGTGATTTCTGAAAGCTCAGATACGCTTGGGCACGCTCTGAGGTCAAGGTGACTTCTGGGAAATCACGCACCAGAAGCGATTTCAGTGGGACAGTGCTCCCATCTCGATTGGGCTGGTCTGCCGGCCGCCTGTCAAATCATTGCAAGCCTCACCTCACAAATGTCGCAAGAGCAAAGGTCGAGTGGGAATATATAGAATGCTCTAAGGAAAAATAATCGGGTATCCTATGAACCCAGGCTTGAACAGACAATCCAGTAGCTATCGTGATGGATGCGACGAAAGTGTGCTGCCTCGGGCTGACAGCATCTGTGGATACTATGTTGTTCCTTGCAGTCTCTGAAGCTGGTGTTCACACATTTCCCCAATGTCATTGCTCAGTTACGATGTAGTCTGGCAGCCACGCGATGCACAATAGGGTTCAGGAGTTGATACTCATAATATCTCTTAATGGGTCCGCTCCCCCCGTCTCTTGATTACAGGGATGCCACTTCTTCCAAGTGCGGCGCATGGACTGAGCCATGCTGAGCCTGGCTGATTCGCCGAATGTGATCAGCATTCGACCTGCCAGCGGACTGCAGTGCTCATGTGCGGGAGACGCATGGCACGGCATCCATCCAAGGACCGATGCACGGCCCAACCAAAAAGCAGAAGCACTTTAGTAACGCAGCGCAGGATGGCTGGACACTTACATCGAAAGCCAGCAGGCCAGAGCTCGGATGTGCAGGCAGAGGGCATAGCAGTCCTCGCAAGCGGTGGAGGTGGTCATGTTCTGAATAACCACCGGGCACTTCTTCAGCTGGCCGCTGCGACCTGTGTGGCCACCCAAGACCGGAGCAAGGTGGAGTCCCCCTTTTCGTAGTTCTTGTCACCGATCCAACTTAGGTGTTCCGATTCCGAGGCGGCAGGCGGAAATCGAAAGTGCCAGCGCTCGGGTGGCTTCGTTTAGACGGCTTCCCGTAGACCCTGGACTCGCTATGCCGTGCATGGGAGCCTTGAGATAAAAATGTCAGCCTAGGCAGAAAGAAGAGATTCCTGCTGTGGACCTGGATGGTTGCAGTTGGTTGAGCGCAGGCAGGCACTCGTGTGGTGAGGGAATCGTCAGCACCTGGCCGGGCAGAAATTGCTTGTACAGGTGACGGCGCAGAACCGCCCGCTGAAATCGTAGCTGCAGTTCGCGCTGCTTTGATGTCGCATGGGCTCTTCTCAGCCACAGGCCTGGCGTCATTTCCTATCATAGCCTGCTTCAGTGCCGGTATGCGGGAAAGAAAGGGGCAGTGTTCCCTGCCACTGAAAGGCCATGGAGTGCCCTCGGTTGTCGTGAAGAAAGTCCGTGCGGAGTCCCTGGCCTTCTTCGATGAGCCACTGGAGGTGAAGCAGAGCTGTGCCGTTTGTGCCTCAGTTCGGAGCCGCCCTGGACCAGCTGCCCTTCTCAAGACACTGTCTCAAGGTTTACAACATGGAAAGAAACCGTTTCTTGGCAATCTGCAGATCTTGCAGTATTTGCAGTCTTGTCAACGGGTTGGACATCGCCCAGGTGGCTATGAGATCTACCCGCATCACCAGAGGTTTCTAGAACAGTGGCAAGCCACCTCTGTGCCTCCAGATGCACATGCCGAGCCATCTGCTGGGCAAGGTGCACGTATTTTTTCAGGTGCAGCTGGACACTGAACTGAGTCACTCTGGGAAGGCATCGTCTGCGAGCGGTTCTGCTGCGGGCCGCCAGCGATTTGTGAGGCTCACACAGGGTCGAAACATTTTGTGGCAATTTCGGTGGAGACTAAGCATGCAAGCAGAACGAACCGGAATCACAGAAGGGCCCTCTGCATACCTAGTGGAAGAAATATGATGCCATAGTAGCGAGCCTCACGAAAGGAGATGGTGGCCGCCATTTCTCAAACTCGAAGCTACTCCAATGCGTCGCTTAGGGTTACGATATGACTGAATCGCGTGTTTACATTGTCGAATGCTGCTGCTTGGCTGAGTGACAGCGCATCCGCGTGGTCGTCCCTGCTTGCAGGCCGATGAGCCACGGGCCAAGTCCACAGAGTGGAAGTTGGATGACTACTACCGCTCTGCATATGGCGGCTTGGGCCTGTGACTACTTCGGGGAGCGCAGCTGATGATCCAACAAGAGATCCAGCAATCAGGCATCAGTGTCGGAATGCCTTGTTCCTAGGAAAGGTGTTCTTCCCTTCGAATGTCTGGCCCTCGAGCTGCCAAATGCTGAAGCCTGCTATGTTGGAAGCTTACATTGCCTTCGAAAAGCTCTCCGAAGCTCTGCTGCTGCCGCTTGGTGGCGACTTCCGTCCATGGTAAAGCTTTCCCGCTTTAATGGGTTGTCAATCGGCAGGGCACAAGCACGCTTCTTGCAAAGGCTTCTGGCAGCAGCCTCGGGGGTGCAGCCATCTTCACTCCAAAACCTCTGGTATGACTCGCAGCGGCGCGTGCGTCACTCCAGCATGCTGCAGGCAGCCAGGCGGCAGCGAGTGCGAAGAAAAAGTGGTATCATGCTACAGATGAAGAGCTGTCTGTGCTGGTTTGAGGCGTGCAACTATCCATCTTTGCTGCCTCGGTGCTTGCGACCACCGGACTTGCCACTTTGACCGGACAGTTGCCGTGAAGGCGAGACGCAGAACATGCGGCTTCAGGTCGGAGTACCAACTGCGGGCAAAGGCACATCAGGATTTCGGTGCCTTCACGGTTCTGGCGAGGTGCCTTGCGATTCGGGTCCTTGTAGCCTCACAGGTGCAATTGAATGTCATGTGATTGCATGAGGTCTCCCGGCACAGACTCTGGTCGGGCCAAGTGCGGCCAGAGCGGTGCCCTTGAGGTTCGATGCAGTGAACACTCAGTCTTTGGGTCCCTTCATTGCATCATTGTGTTTGTGGAGGCTCGTTTGCCTTCTGGTTCGTGGGCATGTGTGCCTGCAAGAGAAGATGCCTTGACGGTAATGCCGGGAACTTTGATCGAGTATTTAACTGCAGGACAGGCGCAGGATGTATTGAAAGCTTGTCAGAGTGATGCGGGGTGGTTTGCGGAGCAAAATGGCCGCTGCTTGTTCGGGAGGACGATGTCGAGGGGTCATGCATCGTGTCTCGAATCCGCGGCCCGCCCTGGCAGCAGATTCTCGACGGCTTTCCGTCACTTTCGCGACTCGGCCACGTGCAGCGCACATTTATGCGATGTTGCGGCAACGTGCAGTATGACGAGCTTGTACCATTCCCTGGATCGTTCATCCACACCGGGCATTGGTTAGGAAGAAGGCATGGTTGCTTCCCCATTATGAAGAGACCTTCACCCCCCCGCCTCTTCCGGTAAAGGCTTCCTCCAGAAGCCATTGTGCTCGTCGCCTCCAAGTCGGGTCCACTCGTATCAGTATTGACAGCAATTTGATCGTATGCTCGTGACCGAGTCCACGATTTTGCTTAGAGGTGGCGAAACCCGACTACACGGCAGCTGCTGTGCCACCGGACAGCAACCTGGCAGATCCTTCGACGCCGACCCTTGGCGACCTCTGGCGAGTGGGTGCCTTGCCTGCAGGCAGGCGGGCATCGCTCAAAGGGGACTTCTGCAAAGCTTGCGCAGGATGGCAAGAAAAGCAGCGCCTCATGGGAACAATGCCACACGGCGTTGCGGTGCAGCAGTTCCGCAGACATCGGCAGGAGATGCCTCGTTTCGAAAAAGTTTGCAAAGTGGGATAGACTCCAGCACCAAACCAGCCGCAGTTTTCGTTGGGCGTAGTGGCAGCTTGCTAGGAATCCCGAAAGGGGGCGCTGATCACGTACTGTAGCAGCAGACACTCAGACAGCTCGGCTGTCGGTTTCAGGTCTGAGTCCAGGTGGGCTGGAGTTTGAGTGTCTTCCTTTCCAAGTACCGCCCTGCGCACATGCGTCCTCGGAAGGCAGGCATAGGTTTTGTGGAGAATCTTCATGCTCAGCAGCTGGTCTCCGTTTGATGTTTCCGTCAGCAGGAGCTGCGGCAGCGTCTTCTCTTGCAAGACTAGAAGCTGAGTCAAAGCTGGGATGGGAAGAACGCGCTGAAAGCTGAACCTGCTGCTTCACGAGCTGGGCGGCCACATTCGACAAGTCAACCCGGCGAAGTCAATGGGAACAGAGCGTCCCCTGATACTGGACATGGCCGACCACCGCCAGCTGCTTGGCGTCCTATGGCGTCAACGCGAGGCAGCAGCTACATGACTACTTCGAGTGCCTTGTTATCGACGAAGCAAAAACGGACCAGCAAATCAACCTCGGCTGGCAAGCGCTATGCATGTGCTCGCACAAAGTCATGGCATCATGGAGCTTTGTATGGCCAGGTGTGATACGAGCCAACGGTGGTGACAGCTGGTGCATTTGCATGTGGGCCCGTGCCCTAGTTATTCTGTTCTGTGCCATGTCGACGGCTCCTATCTCAAGGCCTTCGCTCGCATGATTGAAGCCGTGGGCTGCTCAAACGTGCACCTGCGCTGCAACGCTACTGACTTGGACTTTGTTCCTGCCTCGGCACCAGTCGCAGTAAACTTGGCGGCGTTGCCGCGACAAATGCTCCCTGGCAAGCAGTGACTAAGGTTTTGGCCAGCTATCGAGATCGAGGTGTGACAGGCTCGGGCTCAAGTCATTCACATCCCGTTTGCACTCACACCTTTTATTTGGATGGCTGCATTTCTGGAGATTCTAGAGAAACAAACACGTAGGGTTGGCCGGAAAGAGGACGGGTCAAGAATATGTTCGCGACAACCAGATCTCAAAGCCGAAAGAAATTCCCGAAGAGACTTTCACCCTCGAAATGGCCACGTCTAAGCCACTGTGGCAGCAACCCAAACTACACTGCACTGGAGAGCGACTTCTCAGCAACAGCTCAGTTGAAGCCAGGACTGCCCAAACATCTCGTCCCATGTCACACGGCAGCCGGTTGATAATGAGTCCCAGCAGCGGCATGAAACTAATGTTTGGGCAAGCCCAAGCAATGACACAATCAACGTGTCCCTCCTTTTCGCGGTGAGGTTGAGGGTAGTTTAGGCATTCGAGGGTCCTACCCTATAGACATGAGACCGGAAGTTTTGAGAGTTATCCATTCCAGGTCGCTTGGCTGAGAGGAATTAAGTTTTGGTGAACACGTTTCCGTAGTGCAATGTTCTCCGATGATCGTTTCTTCACGGGCCTTTCTTGAGACTGTTTACAAGCTTCAAGGGGCAGTTCGTGGGAAGCATCGTGAAAATCGCCACACTTTCGAATCCAACGTGCAAGGACAAACTTTGGACGATGGTTAGCACAGGGCATGTGAGTAGAGAGTCCTAGGCCTTGAAACTGACTGGTAGCGAGGATCTCTTTGATCAGTGTTGGTTGCTGTGAAAGCAAGAAAATGCGGCAGCCCGGGTCTAAGGTCGCGTCCATGATCTCAAAGATGCGCACAGCTGCATGCGAGAGAAGTGCGCGAAGGCAGAGATGCCAGATGGAGCAGTCAAGCCCAAGTTTGTTTGAGAACAGGAAAACACAGAAAATACATTGAATCGAGGCCATACCCAACGAATCCCAGGCGACTTCGCCACCAGTTCTCCATGAAAAGGCCTCTCTGCATGCGCATGACGCTCCTGCCACACTCGCAGCTTACCCACCAGATACACGCACAGCACAGGAAGAGAATCTCGGCTTCGAGGAGCTTTGAGGCCATACCGACCGGCTGGCAGTGCAGAGGAACTGCTTCACTCTTTCGTGTAGCTCCCAGTCCAGATGCAAGCACGCATTTCACCGCAGCCTTCGCCCTGGGCTTTCACAAAGGCCAGTTGCCCAGCTACCGTAGTAGCAGCATGTAGCCATGCTACATGCCGCAATGCAGCGGATTGAACCGTAGTTGAGTTTCCAATTGGGCCAAGCGACCCAAACACCGTGTCACCCGTTTTCGCAAGTACCACTTGCCATTTTCGCATCGCGCTCGCGGAGCCAGCCAAGTGGGCAAAAGTTTGCTGCCGTCTCAAGCCCCATAAAACAACGCATCAGATTGCGGGAGCTGTTTGGAGCGGCCAGGAAGGGCCAGGAGGCACTTTCACCCACATCGCACACGCAGCAGCAAGAGTTCTAACTGGGTACGAGTCCACAGGACCTGATGTGTGTGAAAACCTTCATGAGCCACGTGTCATTGTGCTGCTGGCAAGGCATGAAGAGAAATCGTAGGATGTTTCTCAGTTCGTGGCCCTTGGCATACATGGGATCTTTTGACGAAGTCGAGACTTGCCTTCTTGTTTCTAGATTCTGGATGAGCACGTCCCGTTGGCTGCGGCCATGACACCGCATGTCACATGCCAGGGTGGCGGCCTAAGTTTCGAACCAGGGGAGCAGCATCTCCATGTAGTCTTTTGCCTGGCGCATGAGCAGGCCTCACGACTTTGCTGGGGGTCTCGCTCCAAGATAGAAGTCGAGAGATTTCCCCCTGCTGCACCACCGTAGCATGGCTGTTGATTCGCGAGGCTCATCCTTATATCTGCACAAGCAGCGCGCAAAGCGCCGTGATCCCAGAAGGCGTAGCATGTTGGTACGGCTGTGTTCTCATCGCCTACCCTGCTAGAAGATGCTGGAAGCTGCTAGAAGCAAGTCAGCCGAATGAAGCCTTCTAAGGTTTATCAACCCTTTGCGACACTACAATGAGACTTCCGGCCACATCGTGCGCCCCCAAAGCCGTCTCATGGCATGGGAGTCAGGGAAACACTGAAGCGCTGACAGATCTGCACGCGACACTCCGAAATTGTCTGCTGACGCTTGTGTAAAGCCTGGAGCAAGCTTGTGTTGGAAGGGCTTTGTCCTCGACATCGAAGGCAGCGAATCTGTACAGGAGGTGCTGGATGCTGTTCAGGAGAAGCGCGGCATGTCTTCCTTGTGGGGTTGGACACTAAAGTGAGAGGGGTTTGTGCGCCAGTTGGAGAGGCAGTGATCCTTCCTACGTGTGTTCATGTTCTCGTGCTGTTCAAAGATGTGTTGTATTGTGTTGTTATGCAGGCACAGCTAGGCTGGTACAGGTTTCCTGCAAATCGACTGTGAGATCGACAACATAGCCACGCAATGCCGACTGCGATGCATGTGGCTTCAGGCTAGTTTAGTACATTTTCGGAAGATGTCAATGTTTCGCACAGTCAGCTGAAACTCGCATTGTTCGCAAGGTCTCTTACGAAGCCAACAAGCGCATGAAATACATGCAGCTAATCACACGGTAGCAGTTGCATTGCTGCAGTCAGGCATGCACCCAAACACGAGCAACCTTTTCATTACGAGACGTTTGCCCGTTTGCCGTTTTTCGGCGGCTTTATCATCGTTGTGGCCATACTGTGGGCTTGGTGAGCCGGCTGAAGTTTGCGCTTATCTTGATTGAGCATTCTTTGAGTATCTTGTTGGCCATGTGCGTCGAGGTGAAAATGCGCGTTCGGCTGTGGACGGCGTGCGCTGTTTGCTTGCTCCAGTTGCTGCGTTGCGAGATACTTCTGGACCGACCAGACTCGCAGTACAAGGTGCCGGATCTGTAGTCGCATGTAATCAAGTAGCCAGCTTATGCTTGCTACGATCATTTGGTGCTAGTGAACAAGGCACGTGTTTTGACCCACTTCCGTGACAGGGCAATTCTTCAAATTGCACGAAGCTCTTCGCCGCTTGGTTTCTGCATGTGCTGCCTTGGCTCCTGACAGATGTAGTGCACTAGGCCCCACCCAGACCAGACCATGACTAGGGGCACGCTGTTAACTGTTCAGAACTTTAGACAACTTCGCCCTCCCAACCCATGCTGTAAAGCGCCGGTGCTTCAAGAACACACGCGGCCTTTGGAGCCGTCCTCATAGTTTTGCCGAACGTTCCCCGCGTCTGTTGATGCCGCCCACTGCAGGCATTCATTTAGGGAGCAGCCGAGGTGAACAGTCCTCCGTTCGACAGCGGTACAAAGGTTCATGGCATCGATTCAGGTATTCATCCCAGGACCGTTTTTGCAAGCCAGTGATTGATGACCTTGTTGGAAGATGTGGAATAAGGAGAAAATTGGTTCGCTAAAGTTCAAGAGACTGCAGGACCACGGGCTCGAAAGCCGACATGCTGACGATTCGGGCGATTTATTACGGGCCACGTCCTGTCGGGCTTCTTGAATGCGAAGTAACCTGGGGAGTCACTTGCTGTGTGGTAGCACGAATTGCTGTCACGACAAGGCTGAGCCCAGGGCTCAACAATGATCTCTACACGTCGGCATTCAACAATATGCACGAGCGTGATTTGTACATCATGCGGCATCTCGGTTTCAGTCTTTGCCCTCGACGGATGTGCTCCAGACAATCTCAGCTGTGGAGTTGGAGGGGTGTGACATGTGCTTGGAATGGATGGTGCGCACATCCCCAGCAAGCCGAGGAACATACTCCACGCGAATGCTGTCAGACTTGCACCTTGGGACTCGGAGCAGGACCATTCCGGTTTCCTGCACGCCTGCAAGAAGTATGGAATGTGCCTTGGCCAGCTGGTTACATTGCGGCTGTTGTGCAGCCGCCAGTGAGCTATAGGGTTGTTCAAGGGTGGCCATACGGTGTAGGGCTCATTGAGGTGCCTTCCGAGATGGTGAGAGGGAGAGCCCTTCCTGTTTCTTCACCCGATCGGGCAGGTCTTAGGTTCAGGAGCTTCACCGGGCGGATGCACGGCCCAGACGCGGGTTGCAACATTATTGGGCTTTATCAGCTAACGAGTCTTTTCGTCAAGTTGCAAATGCTGTCTCGCGGACCTTCGCTTGCGGGCCATTTTCAAGAATCCACTGTCCAGGGCTGACGAAGCTGTATGTCGACACAGGTATGTAATACCAACCTTCGACCTTTCCTACTTCCTGTCCACCGCAGCCAGGACTTTCTTCGGACATGTCCATTTTGGGCCTGACCTCGTTTTAGCATTAGACCGTTTTCTGCTCCTGATTCCAGGATGTCAGCATTCAGCCAGAGGCAGTCCGAGGTGTGGAAGGGCTTCCAGAAGTTCTTGCACCAGGCCCGAGAACCGATAACTCATGGGCGGGGACGCACCACAACAGACTGTGTGAACACTGTGCATGACAGCGGGATGGAGGCGCTCCAGGATGCTGCGGACATTGAAGAGATCATCCTGATGTGGACTGTCAACTTCGGTCTGAACCTGAATGAAACGACCGAGCAAGGCCCACGCTCGATTTCCCTTCTGTCAGAAATCCGCGATGCACCTCGACGCTGGTCATAGGCCACTTCGGGCTGCTTCGGGGTTCTTTTTGAGCATACTTCAGGGCCAAATGTGCCAAAGGCCTCCTTCCCATCGTCAGACAGTCTGAGGAGTACTTCCAGCTGCTGCGGGTCATCCGCTCGGCCCAGTGGCTGCAGGAGTGTGGTCCGGGAAAGGCCTCCTGCGATGGCGATCGCTTCAAGAGACCTCTAGGCCACGCGCGGGTGCTTCCGAAAGAATGCGTGCACGAAATTATGTAGGCATGTATGCATCTACCCACCGTGTGCTTCCGTGCATGCATGCCACAGGCCCTTCCCTGCTGTTGCTTTACCGCCTCAGGGTGCCATTGTTGTCGATTGTTCGGTGGCTGGACCCCCCCGACTCTGCCAGATTTACCACTAATGTCAACTCAGTTGAATCAGCCTGGGCAGCTTGCTGGCAGGTGCAGTTTCTGCTTGGATTTGACCGTTTGATGGGTGCTCCCTGCAAGGTGTCCCCCTGTTGCTGGACACGATCTTACGACAAGACAATATTGGATGGTATCTGGGCTTCTCCGAGCCTTGGCGCTTGCTCAGCTCGGCGCCGCTTGGCATATCCTGGTGAGGTAGCAGTTGTCTAGCCCTAAGGAGACGGTGTGGGGAACATGGCCAGTGGATGAGCTCTCACTGCATATCGACGAGAAAACCTTCAACCGGCTGCGGCCACTGGGAGCTTTCGATGCCTGGATTGTACAATCGCAGCCGCCTACGAATCGGCAAGGGCAGACGGACCTGGCACAACAGCTGAAGTGGTTCAATGCCCCGTGGTTAAATTCACAGCTACTATTGGTATGTTTTGCTATGTTCATTGTCTGGCAGGAACTTTGCAGAATAGTTGCCATTCAGGGCTCGGCGACGAGACACAGCGAGATTTGATGTTTTGTGCTTGCAAGTCTTCCAGGGCCGCTACTTGACCTCTGAGTGGCTGGTCATTGGGCGTCGTCCATTGAAAGGATCCGCACTTTCGTGTCCTCCCTTGAGACCCTGCGCCTGGTTTCTACTCTTGTGGCAGCCCGTCATAGCCCCTTTCTGCGGTAGTCCTAGAACGCCTTGCAAAACCGAAACACTACTCGTACCTCTGTCAGCATGGGCTCAATGAGCCGAGCTGTTAGGTCGTGATCTGTGCTGCGCCGGCACTGTTCGATCGTCGTCGTATTTGATGATAATGTCTGCTACGTCACATTGGGTGTAGATGCAAATTTGTGTTCCCGGCAGGCCACAATGGCAGAGAGCCACAATGCCTTTGCCTGGCATGACCTCGCAACTCAAACTCTGCGAAACCCTGCGGGCGACTTGCTTGAGGGCTGTGACCCAGGTACCTGGAGAGCTTGAAATTGAAGAAAAGAGCAATCAGTTTCCTTGTCCATCTTCTTGTGATAGCTGCTCTTGAGCTGTTGCTTGGAGGCATTGGGTGTACATATCCGACACAGAAGCTCGTGATCGCGCAGTTTGGCTTTGCAGCTGAAGCTCCGATGTATGGTTCAGCGCCGCGGCTCTTGCTAATAGTAGTAAGAAGAATACGAATAGTAGTAATAATATTAACAAAAATGTCGGTAACTGTTTTTTTACCACACCACCACCCACCACCACCACCACCACCACCACCACCACCACGACAACGACCACTACTACTGCTACTGCTACTGCTGCTGCTGCTGCTGCTACTACTACTACTACTACCACCACTACCACCACTACTACCACTACTACCACGACGACAATGCCTGCTACTACCATCTTTAGTGTGCTAAAC